ACCTGCAGTGTATCACACAACACCCAATATCCCTTGGACCCGTCACATGGGATATTCTCCAAGCCATGCTCCAGCAGCACGTCACGCTCATCGTGTCAGTTTCCGAATCCCACCATGAGGGAGCAGTTCAGTCATACACGCCCCGTAAAGACTATTAAAATCTAAGTAAATGATGTAGCTACTATCTTCCCCTAGATCTAAGCCTGTGTGCTGGTTCTCCACATTCGTGTACTGTCTCGTCACACTGGTGAACCCGCCTCGGAGATTCCGACGAAGTAAATTATATAACAATGGGTCTGACACAACATCAAGTTCAACTTTCGATTTAAGCAAGAACGCATCCCAAGCAAATGAGGGTAAAGAAATGTAGTGTGAAATGTCTAATTTGTAGAGAGCAAGCATGGTGTCTCGCCAGACTGTGAACACATCAGCTAGCAATCCTGTGTCCACTTTGAGGTAAAGGAGCAGATACTCCCCTATGTTGCGACATTTAGCCAAATCAAAAATTTCTAAGGCTTGTTTATAATCTGTTTCTGACAACTCTTCGTCTTTTAGTGTATTGTAAAACTTATCACGAGAAGGAAGGTGTGGTTCATCTAACACACTCATAGAGGATAAATAATCATAGCAGAATGATTGTTTACCCTTCAACAGTTTTGGGATGGCCGCTTTATTTACACCTTTTAACATAGCCAAAGTGAATGTGGTAGGTTTCCCACTATCGATAAGATCCTTGGCTATTCTTCCTAGCGAGCCGTTGAGAAGGGCTAAACTATCCAATATCTTAAGTTGTTCACATCGACTTTCATAAATTTAAATCCATCCTTAGCTAATATATCTATTTCACTCCCTGGTCTATCTCTCATCTCGTTTAGGATTACTCCTAAATCATAGGAAGCGTTGTGAGAAAAAGTGTATAGGAACTTGTATGAATTTACACACTGCAAATTACATCTATCACAGTAAGCTGCTTGATAATTGTGGAATCTTACTGTGTGGTCGTGATGACGGACTTTGATTACATCTTCTCCGTTAAAAGGTACATCACAGAGTTCACAGGCTGTTTTTGTCTCAAATAGTGTCTGTTGTTGCTGAGACATGTGAAGTTCATAGGATACTAACCCCTTCTTGATTCTAGCCCACGACGCTTCTAGCGTGGTTATAAAGTGATTGGCTGCATCTTTACCCAGATAAGTATCTTTCTCAACAATATTCAGCCGTCTGTCAATGATGATGTACGCATACGCCACTGCGTTGTGACGTGTTTCTATCATTCCCTTAGGGTTCGAGCGGTCTAACAAGCACTCAAAGTCATAAAAGCACATGTGACTAGGACCATATCCCCGTCCATAGTTACGGAAAGTAATCTTCCTCTCTGGTGGGTAGAATTTGAGAGTCTGATGTACTTTGCATGTACTTTCATGGCTCTGCATGCTATCTGCTGGGAGTGATATTAAACAACAATGACAGAAGCTGTGATGACTCGGGATGCGATCACCATGATCTCGTATATTACGTACATATTGGTTAAAATCCTTAATTAATACTAAGTGTTGAGCTTCCAACATCAGCAATGGTATGACATCTGTATAGCCCCCTCTTCCCTTCCTAGCTAGTGTAATGTAATGTCGCTGTCGTCGTCTGGCATTTTCATCTCTTTCTAGTGAATAGATGAATATACTGACTTTATTTATTTTCTCTACCTTGTGAATATCCTCGAATGTTACTGCAGAATTGACATCTGCTGGCCATTTCATGTGTCTGAGACACCAACTAGCATTCACAGATCTAGCGCGGATATTACCTAGTCGCATCCCCTTAGCTAAACATTTATAAGCAGCAACACACTGCATAAGGCAAATATCAGCCTCTCCCTCTGGATTGAAAACCAATTTTTTCCCCCGCAAGCCTTCCGGATAGTCTACATGCGAGCCTAATCTTATCGGATGTTCAATCTGACCACAGTTAATGTAAAACCCGGTGAGCCGCTCAACCAAGACATTGGACCCTTCCCTCGCTTCCAGGTACTGTGATATTTTCCCGGTCAATTCGTCAGCCCAAAAATCGATAAGAGTTTCTACTTCCTCGAGAGTAATTCTTCGCCCCTCACCTCGTATGGGAAAGCCGTCGTTATTTATAGGATCCAATAGATTATCCTCCCCGTCTTGTTGTACATTTAAATTTCGCACAATTAGAGTGACGTCTGGGTAAATTAGGAGGAAAGGGTGTTGTGGAGAGAAAAGGGCGCGTATCTCATTAATGAAAAAATCCCTGTATGTTCTCAGATAGAGTCCCGGGGAGGTGTTAACATGTTCTGGTATGGAGAATGAAAGCCGGACATAACTGCCGTTATAGTTATCAATTCGATCCAGCAGCTGAGGTTGAATTTCTAGGGCCGGTGGAGGAGAGGGAGAGCGAGGTGGTGATGGGAGAGGGCTGGGAGGGGTGGGGGGTGGCGATAATCCCCCTCCGAGATGAATGGGGGAGAGTGCCTGGTCAGCTATTACGCCAGACGGTGCTAACAAGACAGAATTGACAGACGCTTGCGAGTCAAGGTCACGGTCTGCTGAGCTGTCGTCTGAGTCACTGTCTGTGATGATAATGGTACGGTTCTCACCACTGCTGCTGCTGCTGCTGCTGCTGCTGATGCTGTTGCTGCTGATGCTGTTGCTGCTGCTGCTGTCGCTGATTGATTGGGGTATGGGGCTGGGGGAGGAACGGGGGGTTGAGTGAGCGCATGAACGAGCCCTCCCCTCCCTGTGAGAGCCGGATGTGGGTAAAGTCAACTCTGCTGTGTCACTCTAACAGCCACTGCTCTCAGCGCTGCTGGATGCCAAATCTATGCACAGCGGTGTGTCGTCTGTAAAAAAAAGAAAAACATATTATCTCTAGAAAGCATATATATATATATATTATGAGGTGAGGGAACAGACTAGTGGGAATTAATATGTTTAGGAAATAGACTGAAATAAGACAGTATTAACTTACTTATGTCCTGGTGAAGGGGTTGAGCAGGTGAGTGGGTATGAATCCGTAACATTGTGTTAACAGGATGAGATATGGTCTCGTAGCCCCCCATCTGGCAGCGTGGCTGACCTTGATGAAGGGGCTGTGACTGCCCGCGAGTGAGATCTGCTCTCCTTAGCTCAGTGTGTGAGGAATGGGGTATAGGCTCGATGACGTCGATCTGTTCCCTCCGTCGATTAAGGTATGGATTATAACCTGAAATGGAACAAATGATATTCCGCACGGGTGAATGGGGAAAAATATGTTTATTATGCATGTGTGTTAGCTTGCAAGTGGATGAAATACAGATACGAGAAGTATATTTTTATATGCTACCTACGTTTATGTGAAGTTTCATTCCGGCGATGACCTCCTCGCGGGGCAGGTGAGCAATAAGGACACTTCACGGTTTTGTAAACTGAAATTGGAAAGAACATATTTAACTGTGTGGAATGTAATAGCCCGAATGAGTAAATATTCTCACACTATAGTAGTTTACACACGCGATATTCCACCTGTGGATGCCATAAAATGAACTGTGGAATATTAAATAAGAATAACACTCACGGTTATCACAGAAAATCTGCTGACATCGCTTGCATTTGATGTCGTAATGTCCTAGGGGCGGTTTTTCACAGCTTGCGCATTGCAGCCGACACAGTTGATTTGCTGATGGAATATAAAACACTCCGCATTTCATGCAGGCTGTAGAGCTTCGCCTTTCCATGACATGGAGCTGTATGGTGAGTGTGTTTGTAGCGGATGAAGTCTCGCAGGGAACTAACGGGGCGTTTGTGTGTGAGGGGAGTGAAATGCCCCGGGTCAAATGAGAAGTGATTGATGGCTGACAGGTGCGGGTCTGTCGGCAGGAGTATGACCTCGCTCCCCTCCTTACCGGAATCGCAGTGTATGGGGAACCGTGGCGGGATGAACAGCTCCAAGTCTGGTCTTAAGACAACGAAAACCCTTTAAGGTAAATGGGTCACTTCCACAGGAGGCCGCTGCTCTCTCTCTCTTACCCTCCTCTCACACTTACGACTTCCTGTAGGGGGAAGCTAATGGACGTCCAGGTGTTCCTCTCAGGTATGGGGGTTCTCCTCTCCCTCCCCCCTCCCCCTCCCCAAACAACATATCCACTATTTTGGATCCCCTCAACCTCTACTCACGATCATCAAACTATTATCATCACACAGGTTTAAGTCTATGACAAACACACACATACATATTCATTTACTCCTTCCTCATATTCCACTCTTATCCTTGTATTTTCTTACCCGGAAATTCACCCCAAACCCTTTGTGACTAGAGCGACGCGCTGCGACTAGAGCGATGCGATACACCTGCTCACCCACCACTCAAGACCGCCAAACTTCCGGGAAATTCCCCCCAAAAACCCCCTGTGACTAGAGTGACGTGCTGCGACTAGAGCGACGCGCACCACCTGGCATCCAACAACATGACTCCCCCTCGTTCCTGACCACATACCATAACACCAGACGCTTATACGCGTCTGAAACGCGCCAAACTTCCGGGAAAATCCCCCCAAAAACCCCCTGTGACTAGAGCGACGCGCTGCGACTAGAGCGACGTGCCACTCCTGCCCAGATGGCACTCATGAGTGCCACCTGGGCAGGTGGCGCGCGTCGCTCTAGTCGCACTTTACACTACTGCCTTGTTCCATCTCCCATGTTCAACAGGTACATGTCACGTCACGTGATAGGTTCCTGCGGCTTCTTAGGGGCCTGCACTTTGAGAACAATGTTAATGAAGACAGACACGACAGACTGTGGAAAGACGCGTCGGTATTTAGGTATTTAGTGATTTGAGAGGAAAATTCCGTGACTATTTTGTACCAGCACAGGATGTCGTGGTAGGTGAATTGCTAGTCCTCTTGGGACATGGGACGACTGGCGTTCAAGCAGTACATTCCATCAAAATAGCACACGTTTGGACTATAGTTCTTCGTGCCATGTGACTGCGAAACTGGTATTGTCATGGACATGATATTGCATTCAAGTACATACTTTGACATACCAAGTCAAGATCCACACGGGTTCTCAGACAATGTCGTGAAAACACTCATGGATCCAATGCTGAACAAAGGGCATATCCTGTACACTGACAACTACTATACCAGCCTCTTGCTGACCAGAATCCTCCTTGACCACACCACAGGCGTATGTGGCACTGTCAAGACCCACAGGAGGAAAATGCCAGTGTTTGGCATTGACATTGCAGTGGGTAAATGCCAGCTGCGAATGTGTGATCAAATGTTATCAGTGCGCTGGAGGGACAGACACGAGGTGAATATGTTGATAACTATTCACACTGGTGCCATGTTGGAGAGTGGCAAAGTTAACTTTGCAACAAAGTTGCCAATGAATAAACCTGATTGGGTCATTAACCACAATGTAAATATGTGCTTAGTATATAAATGTGCCATGATGGTTGGTGCAGTCAAGTGCGTGCAAAAATATGTGAAGTGAAAGAAGACATTTTATTTCCACCTCATTGACGTTGCAGTGCTGAACTGTTTTAACATGTATCTTGTGAAATTAATATACGGATATACGGACTACGGATAGACCATTTATCCGTACATTCAGTGTTGCGCTAACGTCACAACTACTCGTGAAGTATGGTTGGAGGGAACTGTTGTGATGTGTGGGGGTGCCAGCAACAATGCCTCACACAGTTCCTGACAGACTAATGGGTAAGAAAATTCTGCCTGTACACAAGCTTGGTTATATGCCATGCACCGGCACACGGGAAAAAGGTAAATGTGTCTGCGTTGTTTGCAAGAACACGCAACGTAGGGAACAGAAGCGAAGATCCATCTGCACTTGGTGCGTTGAGTACAAAGTTACCCTTGTGCCCCATTGACTGCTTCACTGATTATCACAAACTTCTGCAGTTCTAAGTGTGTGTTGGTAGAGAATGTATATAGTCTGTGACAGTGTACAGTGTGTAAATAAGTTGAAAACGTATATAATTGAACATTAAATATAGAAAATATGAACAATGTTTGTGGCCACATTTGTGATATATGTAACACAGTTTCTTTGAACAGTACGGATGTTCTACTGTCTGAATATTGTAAACGTGTTCAATATACATAGGATTTGCCAGAAAAAACACAAAAGAAATGCATTTGTAATTGTGCAGTAATAGTGAAAAGAAAAATGGTGGTAACTTCCGCTTGTTGAATCTGGCGCTCGACTGCCTCCGGGAGTCTACGTCATGGGCAACTACAACCCGTCCTCGCAAATTTAATAAGTCAATATTGACTTATTAGTTGCGTGCATATGTAACAAACTAGGCTGTTGTAAGAATTATTCCAGAAGGTTCCAGAAGTTCGGGTAGGGACCTGACCTCTCAACGCACATTCCCCTGGGGATTAGCAGGTCTGAGTCACAAATGGCGGGCATCTTTGTTCATAGTTTTGTATAATGAACCATCCTATAGTATTCAGTAATTTAGAGAAATTAGCCTTTATTCATTTTGTATTAAAATTGTATTGTATAATAGTAATGGGTACAATATCAAGAGTATTCTAATTATTGAGTTTAAGTCACCATCAGTGACGTCACGAATCAGATCTAAGTTGTAAGGCGGAGTGACCGGCGGTCATAGGTCATCAGGGTTGACACGTCTACTATTTCTCAAAGTTCAATTAACCATTTTGGGGATCGGGAACAGCTCTGCCGTTAGATGCTTGTGTAATTTTATTTCAGTAAAATAATTCAACCAGTCTGGATCAATTAAGTACAACAGAGGTTAATTGTTATAACTTAAACCTGGCTAAGTAACTTGGTAAAATTTAGTCTATGCGGAACAATACAAGGCTCTAGTCTGGGCTAGACCAGACGAGGACAGATCAGTGTGGACTCCAGATCTACTGGGAGAGGTCACCCCATCTTACCTCTCCCAAGACCAGCCCAACATCTTCAGCTGGTAAAACGTAGAGGTATAGTTGCTATTGTTAATTATAGGGATAATCTTCTCATTTGCCATTCAGGTCAAGTAGGGAGTGTTAAAGTGACAGGGAGTGAACATATTTAGATTTTGTTTTAGTTTTTCTTTTAATAAATTAATTAGTTAATATTTTGCATTTTTATTGTTTCCATTTGGTTATGTTTACTTGTCCTGGTCACGTGGTCCACACGAGGCAGAGTTGAATTGGGCGCCGATTCTAACATCGAATCGGAATTCATCATTACCGTGTAATTTATTCCACACTCAAGGTCAACGGTTATAGTGGGGATCAAGCCCCAAGGTTGATTAATTCGCATGATCGATCCAGACCTCGATCATTGCTGTGTTACTGGTCTGGTGGTGGCGGCGGAGGCGACTCTAGGGTTTTGCTCAACGCCTAGGTCACGTCATACAGGTTGTAGAATCCTAAGTCGGTCAATCGTCTTAGGACCACGTGGCGTGGAGTTGGCTTCGGTAAAAGTTTTGGAGTCCCTGGTAGAGAATAAAAAGTAAGAATACGGGTAGAGGGGGAATAGAAGAAGGAAAGTTAAGAAGAGAACCCTAACCCGTGTTACAATGGTGCACAGTGGTGGTTTCAACAATTTTGTTGGAAATTGTTGAAAGGCTCACGCGTCTAGCCATTCGAACACGTGCGCGGATGCTAAGGAGACAGCCGCGGGCCAGGATTAGCAGTGCGCCTCACAACAGTGCGTTTGAGTGGGGATTGGCGAATCTTGGGTCATGCGGGCTGATATGATTAAGGTTTAGTTAGTAAGATTAGGCTGTTAAGATTTATTGAAAAGGAGACCGCTCCGAGTTGATTGGACTTGGTACCATACTCGACCCATTGCAATTAATTCAGAGGTGTTGGGAGCCGCCATACTCTCAACAGCAGTTCCTTGTGGGCTGTCTGGGCGGATATATCTGTGGGACACCAGTAGATAGTCCGAGGGCGTTGTTAGACGACCCAAAACGCTAGGAAAAACGTAATCCGTGAAGGGCGTTGCGGCCTCCGAGGGACGGACTAGTAACCTACCTAGCAGCGATTCAACAACTAAGTGATCGCACACTTAGTGGAGGTTGAGTCGTCCCTAGTCGTAATTGTTGCTGAAAGCTGCGTGTCGCTCTGTTGGAACCTAGATGGTCGAGACCCCTAGGCTAGGTGTGGTACGGCGAGCCGGTAGGAGTAATTATAAGATTAAGTCGAGTGCATTTTTGAATTAAGTATACTTAAATTTATAAAGTAATTCCTGTTATTTGCGTTGTTCTATAGATTAATTTTTTTTTCCTTACATTCAATCCCCGGTTAAATTTTTCTCCACGTGTTTAGCATTTTCTTGCATATTAGGCTAAGTGCGTACATTAAGTTTTGCTATTCCCTGTTGTATTAGTCTAAGTCAGAGGTGTTGGTTCTAGAGCGTAGTTAACCCTCTGGACTTAGGGCTATATGTTGGTCACGATAGATAAGTGAAGGAGTTTAAGGGATAGTAATTTTCGTGTAAATGTTTAATAGAGTCCGTGGAATATTTCTAAGTATTTTGGGATAAGTTTTTGGCTAAGTCAATGTCGGAAAGTCGTTAACTGTAATTAACTGTATTCGCGGGTCATGTATATGATCTGGGTATCATTAGGATTCCCCAGTCGATGCGGATGATATTATTCTAGTGTTACCAGTAAGACGGCAGAATTGCGTTTTTTTAGACTTAGAATTTTTTGGTAGAAACAGACACGTAGGTGGAAAATTTTCTAAGTCCAGCTTGGGCTAGAATCTGACTTTTTGGCGGAAATTCTAATTTTCATGTCTCGTGTATATTCTGGGGTCAGTATTACTCTCTAGTGCGCGCAAGGGACGAAATTCTGTCCGTAAGCATTAAACAGTGATAATTACATTTTTGCCGAATTTAGTTATTTTTCGAGAAAATCGTGTCGTAATTTTGTCAGAGTCCATTTGAGGTGAAAATCTCAGATTTTGACGAAAATTCGAATTAGTGAGTGTTGAGACCGCCCGATGTGTCAGTATTGTTCTGTATACAACGTCAGTAGTAAATACTAACTTATTTATATCTGGGAACGAGAAACCCAAATTTTGGTGAATTAAAGGAGTTTTGTGATATTTGGGGTGATAGAATATTTTTCCCTCGGAGTCAGAAAAATTGGCAGAGTCCAGCAATTGAGTAAAAACGCAGTTTTTTTTTATAAAAATTCAATCTTTGGTAAGCAAATATATGTCCTGGGTGTCTATATCAATCGCTAGAGCGGTTTATTAACGTAAAACTAGTTATTTTCCTTCAGAACAAAAATTTGGATTTTTCAGCGTTTAAGCGAAAAAGCACGGGACTTAGTTTTTTTTCAGCGCAACTGGTCCCGCTCCAACAGTCATCAGTGGCCACGCTGCTCACTTCAAGCGCGCTTAGCATTCAAGTACGGTAAATATTCTTTATTAATCCATCACGAGTGCTGCGCGTTAGTTGCGTTATCATTTAAATTGTTTTATACAAATTAGATTCCTCAATTTTTTTAACGTAAAGGACTTAGGTGTCGGTAATAGAACTGCGGGATATTTCACGGTCAGACACCAGTGCGGGGCAGACACTCATTCATTGGATTCACTTCAGCGATTCTCTCGATTAATTGTTGTTTCCTACTTTGGGAATTTAGTAGTTGTTTCTTGGAAAAGAGTTGTGATTTTGTTTTTATTATTTGTGTAAGATCACGGTTGTAGTGAGTCCGGGTCGAGGGTGTACTAAAGGGTAGTTTAGAAGAAACATGGCACACCAGGAATCACAGAAAATGTTTAACCCAGACAGTGACCAGTCAGTAGGGACCAGTGGGAGTGGAAGTGTAGAGGACAGCACCTCTTCCGACACCACTGGGGACCGCTCAGGTACACCTCATCCACCACTACAACAACCCCAACCCCATCCTCAATTCCCGTACCAACCCCATCCTCAATTCCCATACCAACCCCATCCTCAGTTCCCATACCAACCCTTCCCCCAACCCCAGGCCACTACATACCCATTCCAACCCCAGGCCACCCCATACCCATACCCATTCCAACCCCAGGCCACCCCATACCCATACCCATTCCAACCCCAGGCCACCCCATACCCATTCCAACCCCAGGCCACCCCATACCCATTCCAACCCCAGGCCACCCCATACCCACCCCAACCTCAATCCACACCCCACCCCGAGGCCACCCACACCATACTTCAACCCCATCCCCAGGCCGCCACAGCCTTAGACAGGCAGATGCGCACGGAGACGCCGGGCACTCAATTGTCGCCACACGTAGAGGCGTTAAGTAAAGGCGAGGGAGCCAAGCCGAGTAACTGTGGCGCGGGTTCATCAGGCGGGAAGCAGCCCTCAGCTGCAAGTTCGAGCCACCCTGCGCGGGGTAACAACAGAGATCCGCGGAGGTGTTACTCCTGCGGGATGCGCGGGCATATACAGAGGGACTGTGAAGTCACTCCTACGAAAGCATGAAAGCAGGCGCCTAGTGATGCTA